CATGATTATTTTAAATATTCTAAACAATTAAAATTTATAAAATATATATTTATAAACTATTTTTTCAAAATATGAAGTATTCTAAATTACAATAAAGATTTACAATCATAATCGTAAATTAAGCACATAATTAAGACAATTTCCTATAACCATTGAAACAAAACTAACAACTTAATATCACATAAGACTATACAAGGAAAGATTAAAATCTAACCAAGAAAACTCGAATAAAGATAGATACAAACAGATCTGATCGCATCGACAAAGGAACCACAAAAAGGATCAAGATATTGAAAGAGTACCGACAAATCGTAAATCAGAATCAAACAGCGTGAAAAGCTATCCACGAACGCAAACTGACGTAACCGTCTTTCGGTTGGAGACCCCAGAATTGGGATTTGACTTGAATGAATTTGGGTTAGAGTCACCACCGATCATTTATTTTAAAGAAAATGGGTTGATCGAATACCTTATTTCTTACCTGATCTGCATCTTAACAGTGATATGTCAGATTCGGGAGTCGGTTACAGTCAAGGAAGGGTTAGCACCCTTGAACTGCCCTTTCGGTACTATGTAATTTCCAGTTGTCTTTAGTTAAGAAAATGTAACTTTAAATTAAAAGGTAAAATAGCGATCTCTACTACTTACAATTGATTGATTTGAAAGCGTACCATTTAAAAGTTAAAATATGTGTTATAAGAAATAAATGATAAAGAAAGTAAAACAAATGTAATAAGGCAAGTGATAGAAAATGAATAAAATACATAAAATGAAGAAAAATAATAGCGCACATATATACATAGTAGACAACTAAATAAAAATAAAATGATAATGTAAATAAATGAATAAAACAAACAAAAGGAAGATAAAAAGATAAAAATAGATAATAAAAATAAAAAGAAGATAGATAAATAAAAAAGGTACAAGTATATATATAAGTAAAATAATAATAAAAAATAGAAAAAATATATAATAGGAAATCATAAGTAAAATATATGTATATATACATATAAGAAATAAAAATAGGAAATATAAATATATATATATATATACATAATACTAATGATAAATATATATATATATATATATATATAACTAATAAAACGTAATATGTATATATATAACAAAAATAATAAGAGAAAAAAAGCAAATAATTAAAGAAAATCAAAATTGAATAGACAAATTGAGGTTAACATGGGGCTAAATTGAAAAGAAAACAAATTAGGTGGCCAAAATTGAAGACATTTCGGGACAAAGGTCGACTCTTGGGGCAAATTGAGGCACACCAAAGGGAAGAGGACCGAAACTGAGATTATCCCCCACCCGTTTCAGAAACACGCAGACTCTGGGGATCCGAATGGGGTCCTCGGGTTGAGTATATAACCCATTTCCCACGAACACTTTCTATTATTTCCCCATTTGCCAACTTGAATCAAAAAGAAAGGTTTTAAAACCTCTGAAGTGTTCATGTGTGTTCATCAGGCAGATGAACACGCCGCCGTGCTTTCCATAATCTGGTCGTAGCGCCGCCTCGCCGACCACCGTTCATCGGCGGCAAATAAAAAAAATTCACTTTTTCGAATGCTTTCTGAACTTCCTTTCTAAAAACCAAAGTTATTTTTTCAAAAATCGATTTTAAAAAACGTAGATCTAAAAAAATAATTTTGAAAAAAACAAAGGGCCTCCCTTTTGTTCCTCGGCCGAATGGTTCCCGCTCGAACCAAGAGCAAACAAATGTGTCATGCAAGCCAAGAAAACCAAAAGCAAGGTAAAGATTTACCTATTATTTCACTCTGATTCGATACAAATTACTTCGAACGTTTGTTTGCTTTTTCGTGATTTTTTTTGCGTGTAATATCTGCTTGTATTTCGTATCATGTGTAGAAATGGTGTTGATTACACTTATTTATAGTCTAGGATTTGCTTACATTTAGAGTCCTATTTACACTAGAATTCTAAAGCCTTGGCGAGTGTTTGTTGGTGGTTGTCTTGTGAGATCCTTGCATGTTGTGGGTGGTTGCCGAGAAACACGAGACAGAGGCTTGTTGATGTGAAGACTCCTCGACTGGGACGTGTCTCCCTCCTTGCGGCGCTGGATGGGGAAGCTTGTAGGGTTTTTGGAAACCCCATATGACTCTGATTGGGTCACTTGTTTGTTGGGCTAGCCCGCGTTTCGGGCTTGTAAGTCCCTGAGTCTGTATCATATAATAGAACCCCAAATAAATATATATGTATAATACAGTTTGTAAATAAAGATAAAAAAAATAAAAAATAATATATATATATATATATATATCATAATAGTAATGGACGAAATTCGGTGTCTTCACAAACGAGTATCCAAATTCAATCCGAAGGTCCAAAGTAGGGAATATTAACAATATATCAAATAAACGTCATCTTAATCAACTGTGGTGATGTCTAATCATCCCTTAAAAAGAGATAGTGAAAACAATGGCCAAATAACTAAAAAACGTGTCAAAAAGAAAACATGTCATAAAAACATATGAAAACGTATCATACATGTAAACTTATTGAAAATAAAAAATAAGAAAAATTAAAAGGACAATAAAGAATATCGATTGTCGACAACTAACATTAAAGTTAGTGTCGCCGCCGATCAACAAAGATAAAAAAAAGAGTTGAATGGCTTATCAATAATAATTTTTAATTAATAATAAGTTAAAATTAAAAAATGATAAAAAAAAAGTAACAATAAAAAATTTTAATAAGACGAAAAGATTTTCTGAAAAAAAAATCAAATTTTCCGAAAGGCAATGGTCAAAAGAATCCAAAATTTCCAAATACCATTATTTTTCCTAATAAAAGCATTTTTAGCCGCCAAGAAAGCAAGGCAATTTGAAAGAAAGTATTGACTTGAGACCAACAAGGAAGAAAAAATTGCATTGAACACTATTTTTTGCAATTTTACTTTTTAATTAGTCTATTTTGTGTTTATTTGCTCTTTTTTATTGTTTGTTAAAAGTAAATTGTGATATGAACAGATCTATAAGTTATAAAACAGATTATGAAATCAAGATTATTATTATTATTATTTTATAATATAAAATAAGTACAAAGTAGTATTTGTTCAAAGAACATTCTCAATCTATTGACATTGAACGCTTATACCTATGACATTCCTATTGCTCGAACCCGAGATCTCAAGCAATAACAACAATTCCTTTATCACCATAATCACTGGAGTTTGTGCTGAAATCAAGATTATAAATACAACAAATTCAATCCAATTTGACTTAAAATATAGTATTATATATATATATATTATTAGTTTGAATAGTTATAAGGTAGTATTTGTTCATAATTTTTTTTAACTTATGACACAATACATATACTGTGGAGATGCAACAGGTCGAACATGAATCCTTAAGGAAGAAGAACCATTTCTTTTACAATTAAAACTATTCTATGCGTTAAAAATATGGTATTTATATTATACTTATTATTTTTTGTGAGATACTATACTTAATTATTAAATATGATTGAATAGGTTTAATATTGTGACGAGAAGTTATAAATGAAACATCTCTTTTAATCTTACAACTAAATTATAACTATAATTATATGTCAGCAACTGACCTATGCAAAGATTCTGAACCTTGATAAGGAAAATATGATCTTTCATTTCGATCTGAATTATTATTTATTAATCTTAAATTTCTATTTTTATTTTAATCTATTAATAATATAAAAAATCTTACATTAAATGAGAAAAAATCTTAAAGGGACTTTAAATATAGCATTATATCATTTCCTTATTGAGCAATGAAGTTAAGGATCACGCGCATCCTTACTGTTCTTTTTCTTCTCTCAGAGTTTTTAATATTAAATTAATAAATTTAGGCCTCCAAACTCAAATATGAACAAATCTTAATACATGTACATATTTAATTACAATTAGAGAAGATAATACGATTCGAACTCTACGATCACATATTAATTTTACTTAATCACTACTACTAAACATTATCACAATGGAACTATTGACTGGTTCAGATTTTTTTAATTAATCACTGGTATCCGATCAATTGACCGACTAATCCAGATCAGGTACTGCAAAGGTGAGAGAGACCTTCCCAACCCATTTTGCTCTATTCGCAAACGTCAAGGTTTGAACCTCTGACTTTACCTAAGAAATCTAATACCTCATCCCACTAGACCAACTGATTATCGGTAACTAATTGATATATTAATGGTATGTATAGTTTCTATTGTAAGAGTCTTGATAACATATAATATACGTGTGAGTTTAGGCCTCAAGTGACATTTTCGGACTTGTAACTTTCCTTAGTCTGAATACTTTATGGGTAAACTATGTCAAGTGCCATTAAACTTTATCTTTTGACTCATTTATATCACTGAACTTTTAATTTTACCAATTATAGCATTGAACTTTAGTTTCACATTCAATTATATCACTCCGTAGTTAAGTCACTAACATAACGACGACATGGCTAACGGTTATTGACGTGGCATGCCACACAAAAATGACATCGTTTTGGTGCGGCTGTGTTGATGCTTAAAATGACATCGTATTAGACACTAATTTGTATCAATTTTGCTGCTGAACTTTTAAACAATTTTCTTTTTTACTGTTACACTTTCCAGCCATCGCAAGCAACCAAGTATCAACATTCATCATTCATATGTAACGTAAAGATTAGTATCAAAACGTTCTTATTTCACTCTTTTTTCTTCTCCTAGGATTGTTTTTTCATGAAACACACTCAAAATCGACAGAAAATCCATTTAAAAGTTCAACATATTAATATTATGATTTTTTTCAATGATCGACTGACGAGGCTAGCTTTGAGGTATGTTGTTCGTCTTCTCGAAATAATACTTTTCACCGTCAAGATTTTTAACAAACACCCCAAATCCCATAAATCTAATAAAGTCTCCAAATATTTAAAAATGGTAGATTTTTTGTTTAATTTTGACAATTTTGAGTGGGTTCAATGAAAAACTAATCATATGAGAAGAATAGGGAGTCAAATGAGAATATTTTGGTATCGATTTTGTTGTGAAAGTGTCGAAACGATTTCCCAAAGAGGAAGGGGTCTCATTTCGAATAATTTTTTGATCGGTTAATGATAAAATGTGGTTCAAGAAATCGCCACCAATATTTGATTAGGATGTGATTGGGCACCCAAAAAGTATTTGTCATTTTAAAAACCATTCATTTTAAATAAAACAACAAATTTGCGTTACTAAAATTTGAGTTCGAGAGTGATCAGTTATGTGTGGGGAAGGATTAGCACCCCCACAGCGTCCTAAATCGGTACCTAGTTGATTAATTATTTGTCTTTGCAATGACATTTAAGAAATCGAGTCTAATTTAATTTAATATCCCCTACAAATAATATTCTTTAAATTTTTGGACGAAACATGATAATATTTAATTATTTCCTATCGAGAAGAATCAATCTCTCATGCCTTAAAGCAATGTATTCTTACTCCAATCGAAATAAAGAAATATAAAAATTCCATTCTAAAGTTCATTATTGATTCAAAATAACAACTCCCAAAATAATTTTAAGAGAGAAAACGATAATATCTAATTATTTCCAATCGAGAATAAATGACATTTCATGCCTTAAAACAATCATTTATTACCTCAATTGAAATAAAGAGATATCACCATTTCGTCTTAAAATTCATTATTGATTCGAGTGAAAACGATAATATCTAATGATTTCCAATCGAGAATAAAAACCTCTCATGCCTTAAAGCAGTCATTTATTACTCCAATCGAAATGAAGAAATATCACTATTCCATCTTAAAAATCAATATTAACTCGAGAGAAAACGATAATATCTGATTATTTCCAATCGAGAATAAATGACCTCTCATACATTAAAGTAGTCATATATTATTCCGACCAAAACGATAAGATATTACTATTTTCAATATCGACTTGAGTGTTACTATTTTGAAATCCTATGGAAAAACACATGCAAAAATAAAACAAATAAAAGCATACCCCAAGAAAATAAAATTATTTATTTATTTTACCGATATTTAATGAGAATAAGGATGTTCAATTATTTAAATACCTCGAGACGAGACCTTAGATTCGATCTAACAATCTTTTCTCGATGAATTTAATTAAAAGAACATGATCTTTTTTCCAATCCCCGGATTTTAAGAAAGATTCGATTTAATTCGTGTCACTAAATGGGATATACTTTCGTTTTAAAATTATCGAAAGTAACTTTCTTATACATTAAGACAGTCACTTTACGACAATATTAAAATGAACGAATATTACCCTTAGTCAATTTATTTCGATTTGAGTCAAGAGATGCTTATGAGGGTATCATGCAAAATTAATTAAGGACTAAAATGAACTGACATGCAAGCGACATGCAAAAATTAAAATAAAATAAAATGAAAATAGGACTAAAATATAAACAATCAAACCATCATGTCAAAATTAACATAAAATAAAGTACAAAAGTGACTAAAATGAGCATGTTTAATATTGAGTGCTAAAATTACAAAGAATAAAAATAAATATAACATGGGGACTAAATTAAAATAAACTAAAATTGTATGACTAAATTAAAATAAAAAATAGATTCTGGTTCGAAATATAAACATGCAGAAATGAAAACTGTATTTTCGATGTCAAACAAAATTCCTTCTTCTCAATTAATAAATAAGGAAATACATAGTAAAGAGAAATAAGGGTTGAATCCACAGAGAAGAAAATTATAAATTTTTATTCGATTTATTTATGCCAGGCGTGATGTAATGATTTGGGGGGGGTTTTGATAAAAAAATGATTAAGTAATAAAAGAGTAAAAAAATTAATTAAGGTAAAAAAATGAGAAAAATAAAGATTGTAAATAGATTGGGTAAAAACAGCTTCAAGCTTCGCTTTGACTCAATTTCCTTTAAATCATTGAATTAGATTTTTCCTTTAGGATTCACATCGGTTACTTTGTCTACAAGGGCTATCCTCGTGACTCTATTTTGTATACCAAATACCCAAGACAATCTTTGATTCCGGCTTCGGAAATTGATTCTATCAACATCAATTGTCATAGATCAATTATCATTTAAGTTCATGGCGACCGACTCGGATTGTTGCTTCTATAATCGTCAATTCCGATCTCAATTCCCTCTTGGAGAAGCTATCTCGCCAAGTGTGTTCCCAGGAAGTTGAATGTGCTTTCTATAAGACGAATCTTCCTCCCACACTCTAATCGCAACAACAATATAGACCAAAGTCTATCTTTGATTTGAAAACTGTTTTGATTTTGAAAAATAAGCGCAAAGATTGGGATATATATTCTGAAGATATTAAGGGTCTGTTTCAATTCTCCCGTTGGAATTGAGTCATCGCTTCAGCTCTCGGCTTATGAAAAATTTAGCTAAGCATGACAAAAGTCATACTTAGCATATTTAAAAACAAGCTTTAAAAATAAAGTAAAAATCGAAAAACTTGAAAATAAAATAAAATAGAAAGCTTTAATAAAACTAGAAAGAAAAGAATATTGTAATATGAGATGATGAGTTTAGGCTTACCCCAAGTGAGTATTTATAGCATCTCAAAGCCTAAGGATAAATAAAGAAAATAAAATAAAATAATCCTAAAGATAATTGTTTTTCCTAAATTCAAACTTTAAACTAGTCTCCTAATGTAACTCTGCTCGTCCATCTTCCAGAAGGCGTGCTGAGAAAGCCTTCTAGAAACCGTCGCTGACTGCACCTTCTAGAAACTGCAACGTCAGACCATGTCGTGCCCAGTGTCGTGCTCATATCTCCAGCCGTGACCAAATAATAAAAAAATGCAGAATTCACCCGTTTTATCATTAATTCTGGAAAGTAAGGACCTGCACGAAAATAGGCATAACACAACCAAATCAACAAAAATAATTCTACAAAATCGAAGAAATAACGAGCAAATATTAATGATTCTGAACACTCATCAAATTCCCCCTCACTTATCTCATGCTTATCCTCAAGTATGATTAATCAAATCAGTCAAAAATTCCATTTAACTTTCTTAGTCAAGTTTCACATTCGAGGAAGTAAGGTAAATACCACAATAACTATTCAAGTCAAGAATTCAATCAATTGAACATCATCAATTGGAACAAGTTAAGTACAATTGTAATATCCATTCATTCATTCATTAATCTCAATGCTTATAACTCAACACCTTACCGGGATTGACTCAAATCACTCAATGTGTTTGGGGTAAAGAAAAGCTCAATGTCAGAATCGATACTATATTACCATAAGCCTGCAAGTAAATCAAATATCCACTACTAATAAGAACAAGATGCATAAATCAAAGGGTCTTTTATTGGTTGTAACGGGGCTTAGGTAAAGGTGGGGAAAAGGCTAAATATATGGCTAAATATTCAAGGTAAGGAACTAACAAATAACAAGTTCAACTCCATCAAAACATTAAGCACAACAAGATCAAAAGACAAATTGTCAAACAACAAAATTCTTTTCGAAATGCATTTGATTTTTTTTATTTTGCACACTTTTGTTGTTTTATTTTCCATTTTTTCATGTCTTTTTTTTCTCTATTTTTTCGAACAACATCTCTTTTTTTTCTCTTTCGAACTGCTGTCTTTCCCCCCTCTTTTTTATGGAGCATACATCGGATAATTGTTCACTTTCCATAAAAATGGTAGAAAAGAGTGATAAAATAAAAGGATCGAGTTTATAAACATGGTGAAAACAAATAAGCGGGAATAGGCTCAAAAGTGGTTAACTAGGGGGAAAATGTATAGGTAGGCAATTTAGTGGGGGAAACAGAATTGTTAATCCTAAGGTGCCCAAATCATTTTTAAGCATCATGTTCATGTGTAATCTCGATAATATTTAACATGCATGTTCTAGAATACCAATGCCAAATTCAACACACTCAATCCAACAAAATGAGAGCGAAAATGATATGCTCGTAAAGGCTCAAATCTCACCAAATTGTTTCATGCATTGAGCTAATCACATTTCAACAAACAAAATCATGGAATATCACAAAAATACCAACTTGAGCACAATTCATGTTATTCACCATCAAGAACATCCAAACCTAAACAATCATGTGTTCCCAAACAAGCATAGTATTCCACAAACATTCAACAATACAAAGAAATTCAATGAAATTTCCGTAAATCCAACCAACACATACTATAATCTAAAATAAAGATAAACAAAAGGAAATTCAACCTAGATTCTACCCCCCTCACTTAATGCGTTTTGCCTCAAAACGTAAAATTAAAGTGCAAGAGAAGGAATACAATACTCCCTGGATTTAATGTTGACCACGGCCACGGTGGGAGGCACTAGGACAGTGAAGTGGGTTTCCCGGATTGATGTCATGAACTGGAAACATTATCAAGTGGTGTTGTCGGTGAAAAACCAGCATCTAAACCCCCTGTAAAACCATAAACGAGATAATACATTAGTAATTGTTGAATGAAAATATGATTAGAGTTTACTTTAAGAGTATTATCCGATGTCGTCGAATGATTGGAACAAAATGGAAATCCAATAGGCGTGGTGGGGAGGAAGAAGTGGCCACAATTGGCATGGACTAGAATGACGGGCACGACGAGAACAGCGAAGAGGAACGACGAACAATGCTCGGTCCGGGACGGAGGAGCGTTGGCATTGTCGGGTTGGTTTCACGTGCGCACCATCGTGGAGTAGAGATGAGCGTATGGTGTGGAAACTCGTTAGCGAAGGCGTAGGGGTTCGGTAAGGTCGGCGATGGTAAGAAGAAGAAGAAACGATGATGTTCTTTTTGGGGAAAGGAATAAAGTGTTGTGAGGAAGAAAAAAAAGTTGGGGGTTTTATTTTCTGTCGTGCGTGTAGAGGTGTTTGAGTTTGAATGAAATATGGGGTTTTGTTTTTAATTAGGATAAAAGGAAGTTTAAAAATTAAAAAGGGTGAGAGTGATAGGGATAGTGGGTTTTACGGTCAAAGGGAAAGGAAAGAGAAAAGGGGTTTAGGAGTGGGGA